TATATGATTTCAGCTAACACAATTTGCGACTTGGATTTTGGCTATGGTACAGTGTGCGGAGGTGACGCCATACACGGAGGTTGCTACGCCGATGAGAACGCAATTGAGATCAACTTTAAGTGCTTGTGTTTCCCTGGATGGCTTCACGCCTCAACACCACCATGCTCTGAACTGGATCCCTCGGGTAACAGAAATCACGAGATCGGCTGAAATTAATTAAAAAATATAAGTGAAATAGGAAAACGATCAAAAGAGACAAGAAGTAGAAAAGATAAATAAAAGAAAAAGATAAGAAAAAATATTATAAAAATACGAGTTGCTTTACGCACCTCACAGTTTACGCCAAAGTATAAATATTTCAGCCGTATATGTTACCAGAGGTGAATAAAAACGAAGTTATTTGTTTTTTATTGTACATTGTAAAATTGTAAATTTATAAATTGTAAATTTGTAAAGTTTGTAAATTTGTTTTTATTCACTCCTGGTGTTATCAAGCACACGACAATAATCTGCGTAAATAAGCTCAGCAACTATTAACAAACTGTTATGACGATGTATATTTGTGGTGATACAATCGCATATCTGTTAAACAAACAGCTTTTTATATTATCAGCTAGAGTAAGAGAAACTGATATGATATATACTGAATTTTCCATATCTTTTTTCCAATTTTTTCCAATTTCCAAGCAATTTCGATTTGCAATATTATTTTCAATCAATTTTATATTTCTAATGAAATTTGGAATGAAATTTTAATTCTAATCAAAAACGTAAAATGGTTGCAGTGACAACGACACCGACAACATCACTACCCACAACCACAACACAAGAGACTGCAGCACTCATAACCACAGAAGACGTGACCACAGCAGCGATGACTACAGCCGATCAGGCCTACCCACCGATACCTACTACAACCATGCCACCGTTAACCTGTCTTATGAAAAGATCTTCGATGAGTTATACCCGCATACAAGATCCCAGTGTTATCACCTACGCAGTGGAAGTGGTAAAGACATTGGTATTGCCCAATCTCCCAAATAAAATCCATAAATGTGCATCTCATTGTTCTGCAGATCCCGATTGCGTCATGATTGGTTTCGACATCCCAACTCACACTTGCTACATATTTCACGTGGCTGTGAGTGTTATACACTCTTTTTCAGTGGGACAGGAGTATTTGTGTGCAGTAATATAGCCGCTATCGACAGAGGTATTCAGAAACTCATAAAAATAGCAATTTTACATCTTCTATTTGAGCAGCCGATCATATTGGCTATTTGGCCTTAATTACTAAATTATTACTTAATATGACTTGTTAATTATTAATTTGAATTATCTAATCGCATTGTTTGCTGGATTGACAATTGTAGAGGAAATATCACTGAGGTTCTGAGCTTCTTTAACGATAAAGACTAAAAAAAAGTATCAGTAAAAAATCAGTATTACACATATGTATTAGGGTATGAAATCTCACACTGAGTGTATATGCTTTAATGATACGTTTCGCGGTATTGTTTAATACAATGTGATGAGGTGAGTACCCGCATGAGTAAATATTGTATGTGTGGTTCCGAGTCCGCTTTCGAC